CTTTTAGGATGCATTTTCTCTCTGACTGTATTACGCAGACTATGGGAGATTTAGAGGAAGACTACCAGGGCAGAGGAGAAAGGAAACTGACCTGGAATTCTTCCCCCAGGTTATCCCTGTTAGCGTTTTGGCCCCTGCCCTTGCACTCATCATAGGCATTAATGGGGATTGTGGTACCAGCTTTGCAGTGTGCCAGACCTAGTGCTCCATCACCATGCATGGATCTTGTCATTAGTAATGTGTTAATTAACATTTAACTTTTAAGGTAGGTACTGGTGTCCCTGTCTTCCAAGTGACTTTCTGAGGCGTCACAGAGATGTGAACTATCTCACTCAAGGTTACACAGCTGGGAAGTGGCTGAGCTGGGATTTGAATCAGCTTGGCTTCTTCTCAAAGCCTATGATCTTAACTACCCTATTTGCCAGCATGTGTATCTCTGGTATATATGAATCATATATATTTTTATATATTGCATTTCAATCACATTGGATAGGATATTTTAAAATTTTTATTTTTAGTTATATGTCCCTGTGTGGGTATGTGCAGGTGTCCACAGAGGCTAGAAGAGGAAGTTAGGTCCCCAGAGCTGGAATTACATACTAGTTGTTCTAAGCCACCTAATGGGTGCTGGAAAATGAACTCGGGTTCTCTGGGAGAGCAGTACATGCATCAACCACTAAGCCAACTTCTCTAGCCTCTGGATAGAACATTTTAAATCTTACTGTTTTCCCCTTACTGTAAGGAGCATTTTATCTGTTGTTTATAGGTCTTGATCACATTGTCTTTCACCAGCTGGATAACTTGTCATATAAATAATAAATCCTAATTTCCTTCTGATTGTTATAGATTTGAGTTATTTTTACTTAAACAATACTGTAGTGAACATCATGTATATTCATACTGAGCTATGATTTAAAAAAATATATTCCCAGCAATAATGGTTAAACGTTAGAAAACTTCTCTCCATTCCCCATTTCCCTTTGCTTTCCCAGCAGGAATCAAACCCCATACCTTGCCTGTGGCAAAGCGCGTGTTCGACCTCTGAGCTACACTCCCAACCTTGGTTAAATGGTGTCAATAGTGCCCATGGCATGTTTCCTTTTATTGATGTAGAGGAGTTCCTTTCTCATGGAGCTTTTACCGACAGTATAGTAATCAAACTCTGTTTAAAATTGTCTTAGTTAATTTGTGCTGCTATAACAAAATGCCATAGACTAGGTCATTGATAAACAGAAACATGTCCCACAAATCTGGAAACTGGGAAGTCTAAGATGGAGGCCTCAGTAAGATAGGCATCTCTTTGAAGGGACTAAGGAGCACTGTGTCCTCCTATGGCCAGAGCCATAGCATCGCCCATTCAATGTTGAGCCTGTCTATAAAAGTACTCATCATACCAAATCATCCTTTGGTCATCCCCCCTCCCCCCAAGGCCACTCTCTTAGTTCTGTTGAATTGATGACTAAGTTTCAGTAGAAGTTTTGAGGGGGTACCATTCTTCAGATCAGACAAAAACTTCCTACTTTATCTTAACATAATGAGGAAAGGAGTTTTGTGATGGAGAAATAGCCCATAACAGGGTTTGTTAGAAAGAAAATGATCATTTTCTTCCAGGAGTCTTTCAGTTTTTTTCTTTTTCTGTTTTTTTTTTTTTTTAAATTTGCATTTTTTTCCTCAAGAAAATCTTCCTGCAAAGTCTATTTATACATTTGACACAGATATGTTATTTGGAATATGACCAAATGGTTAAAAAATTTCAGCTTGAAGACTAACTAAATGAGAGTAAAAGACGAAAAACTTCTTGGAAAAGAAAGAGTGAAGAGGCACCTGATGTGCGAGAAACTGAAGAGCAGTTTGAGCTATTGTTAGGCACCACAGTGTTCGGAGCAAAATTAGGTGAAAAACAAGTTGCCTGAGAGGACACTTAGCCCTGTGCAAGCATGTGATGCATTGTGTTTGTATCCAGTTCCATGTATGTGAGTTACATATATGTTAAGCCAACACAAACTGATGGGAGATGATGCATTATTCAACAGAGGCAGAAAAGGCAAATCAAGCCATCTGGTAGCTGGTTCCTCCTCAACTTTCTTCAGGATAGCTGCTCCTCTCCCAGATACAGAGCTTTATTTGGTAAAACATTTACCGTCTTAGGGAGGCAATGATTTCTACCTTTCTTTAGGCTTAGCAAAGACTTCTGGTACAGAGCAGGGCATAGAATGAGGACTTCTAGCAGGTCTCTTGTCCAGAAGTGGTGGTGCAGGAGCTAAATGTCTGTGGCGGTGCCTGAGCTGAGTGTGCATCAAACTCCAGGGAAGGTGTTGGTTGTCTGGGCCAGTGAGATGTCTCAGTGGGTAAAGATGCTTGCCGCCTAGCTTGATGATCTGAGTTTGATTCCTGGGACCCATCTGTTTGAAGGATGTAGACCCCGTTGGTTGTCCTCTACTTCCACATGAACACTGTGGTGCATGGGTATAAACACACACACACACACACACACACACACACACACACACACACACACACACACATACACACAGAAGTGGGGGGTAATAAAAAGATGCTGGCTGTTAGTAAGAACAGGGCAGAAGCTTCACCGATAGGTGCAGGTAGCCCTGAAGTTGGATAACACTGCTTGTCTCAAATTCATTTCCAACCTTTTTTGACGTGAACACACGAAAGAGCCTGGCAGGAAGGGAGACCTTGGCAGGAGGGGCCGCTCTCAAAGCATGTGTGGCACCTGCAGCGGCTGCAATAAACCCTGAGTTCAGGGCATGGCTCAGATGGAGCTGTGGAGACAGATCTCAGTTGTTATAGTAACAGCATTCGAATGAGAGCTGTGAAGGCCAAAGTACAGAAGTGTCCACATGCTGAGCTCTTGAACAGGATCATTTTGTCCTAAGAGATGCACAGGTTCCATTCCAGATGCACAGGAAACAGCCAACATTATCTCTGTTGTTTGAAGAAGTCTATGGTAACTGTAATGAACCAAATCAGTAATGTAAGCACTAGTCAATTTTAGTAAAAGGCCACAATAAAGCTTATTTGGACAGTTATGGGTATTTCCTATATTTACCACCACAGTATTGTATGTGCATTTAATTAGATGAGCTGAAAAAAAAAGAATCGATCCATTTCTGGGTACCTTTATAAACAACACAAAGCTCAGAGGGCCTGTACACACACACACACACACACACACACACACACACACACACA